GGTGCGACACAGGCGCGTAACCACCACTGGGGACACTGGGGACCGGTCCCCAGTAACTTTTGGGTTACTGGGGACCGTCCCCAGTAAAACCGACGACCTCAATTTACTTGAATAGCCAAATATTGTCTCTAAATCGACGTGAAGAGTAATATGTAGTCAATGGAAAACAAAACTGGATGTTTTGTTTAGCCAGCGCCCGGGTGGACCTCTCAACCAACTTAGCCATGGTGGGGGGAGGGGCCTTTTGGCCACACCAGATTACCTAAGCAAGCTAGAAAGACGCGGTAAGAAGCAGCGATAGCTCGCTACAGTATCTTTCAGAATTACCTATGTCATTTTTGATCAAGTCATCGCTCAGGTCACTGGAGGTCACCAAAGGTAAAATTTTCACAAACTTTTATTCCCAATTTTGACAACTTTTCACAAATTGGCGCATACGTCAGGAACCAATAGAGCTGCAGTGCTGCGGGAAAGCGCATTCGATAGCTTTTTCAAAGACCTTTCTGAGCAATGTTCTCAGTTTTGACCTAAGGTCAACGGTTTAGCACCAGGTTGGCGTTTTGCGGGAAAGGTTTTTGTATCATAACTTTTGACTCAAAAATAGCATGGCGCTGATTTTACCGGCATCGCGTTGGTCTCGTCGAGACGCATGGAAGGAAAAGGTCATGTTGCATGTCATGCGATTGGTATTGTTGAGTTGAACACATCCATGGTGTTTGCGCTCTAACATGTTTCTACCTAGAGTAATGGTAAAAAACTGTTGGAGATGTTTCATGACCTGAGATGATCTCAGAGGCATAGAAGGGGTCACAGGTGCAATTTTCCGGTTCAGTGTGTCATGTTTACCTGTGTCGGTGGCGGTGCGCGCCGCGGTTGTGCTTACACGCGCAAAAAAAAATGGCAGGTGTGGCCAAAAACGCCCCCCACCATCTCCCCCCCACACACTCGGGCGAAGGCTGATCCTGAAATATTATATTTGGTCTTCGCGGCCTTCCATGTGGTCCCCAGTAACTTCAGACTCGTGGTTACGCGCCTGGTGCGACATTTTGCAGATATACGCCTCTTTGAATATATAAATCTAAAATCTTCCCAAAAAGGCGATGTTTGCCTGTCGAGGAGCTATTAGAGCAGGAAATTGAATATCCGAAAAAATACTTGTCAAATATTCTCAAGCCCCTCTTCACAAAGCATCAAAGAACCAACAAAAATTCAGCCAGCTTCGAAAAAATCCATGCCTCGCTCCAACAATATTTCACCACACTATTCGCCTGCCCAGTATGCTGCCTAACAAGAGGTGGCGATAGAGGCGTTATTCCGGAAACGTTTCCAAAGTGTAAACAAGCCTGGCGGCTGCTGAGCTACCCAGCTCAGCCCCCCCCCCCCCACCTCCCACCTGCACCACGACTCGCACGGCTCCATTTTGCCAACCTCCCAGCGCCAGTGCATTGGAGCTCCGTCCCCGGACCACTATCCGGACCACTGTCCAACTCGTAAAGCCGAAACCGCGAAACTTCCTCCACAGATCGCAATGTCGGCCGCTTCGTCCCGACGTAAATCATGCAGGCGACCACCAGTAAAACCCTGCTAAATGGGAATTAACGCTACCAGCTGCCGTCATGGACTCGATGAATAATTAACCGATGTATCAGGAGCCGCGGCCCGGCAGGGAGGGGTCGGCTGTCGTTAGGACGCGCGGCAATGCCGCTGTCGGCCGCTCGCTGGGCGGTGGCATGGCCAACTTTACACCGCCTGTGGCTAATGGGGGTCACCGGTGCGGTGGGCCGCAGGGACGCCGACTAGGTCACACGGGTCACACCCAGTGACCACTGACGGTCGGCCAGCTGACAGCAAGTGGACAGTGTACGAGATAGGCGCAAACAGCTTCACTGCTGGAGAGTTCGTGGCAATACGAAAGTGATGTGACTTTTCAACTGTTTACGGGTAAACATGTATCACCAATACATTTTGACAGGTCAAACTGATATTAAATTTGCAGGTAAAAGTTGAAAGAGGTGTGACTGTGTAGTGTGAGAATCAGGGCTGCGGAGTCGATGGATTTTCGGCGACTCCGACTCCGACTCCGACTCCGGCTTTCAAAAACCAGCTCCGACTCCGACTCCGACTCCGGGCAGAATTGTCGACTCCGACCGACTCCAACTCCCGACTCCGACTCCGCAGACCTAGCAGGGCTGCGGAGTCGACAGATTTTCGGTGACTCCGACTCCGACTCCGGCTCGGGTTTCTAAAATCGACTCCGACTCCGACTCCGACTCCGGTCATAACTGTCGACTCCGACCGACTCCGACTCCGACTCCGACTCCGACTCCGCAGCCCTGGTGAGAATTGAGGGTAGCTGTATGACTTTAAATTTTACAACAAATATCAAAGTAAAAAGCCGCCTATTGATATAAAACATTTCAGCAGGTCTTGCTAGTCACTTAAATCTGCGAATTAACCCGCTTTGTATTGAATATGCATGCGATAACACAAATCCAGTTTGTCCCATCCCATAAAATGAACAACACTAAACAACTTCATGTTATTATGGAAGCCAAATCAACTCTTCTCTTCATCAGAGAAGATTCGATTAAGGAAGCTCCAATCTTGTATTTGCAATAAAGCAACGCTAATGAGCTTCGAGCTAGGTTTCAGGCTTGCTGAGCAGCGCTACAGTTCCGCTAATTCCACTCACATGAACAAATATGATGCATGCAAATATCATTACAGTGTTGTGAATCCCAAGAAATGTTGTTCACATAAGATTCATGAAATGTATCTACCTTCTAGGCATGAGTTTGAAACATTCATACGTACACAGTCACACACACTGCCTACTTTTATGCAATTAATGGTATTTAAGCCTTTTGCTCCGCCATTCGAGAGGAGAAATGGCTTCTGAATTTCAGAGGTAAGAATCTGTCAAAGAAAACGGTAATGTTTTCTCAACTTTCACCATTTTTTTCACAAGCACCGCTGCACACCATCTGATGCAAAATGTTTACGAGCATTTAGCGGTACTCTTGCCTCTATAGCGCGAGCCGTCCTCCGCAAGAAAAAAAGACTTAAGTCAAAAATGAGGAAGTCGAAGATGAGGAGGAAATGGGGGAACTTGGCAATGAAATGTTGTGAATTGAGTGTGAATCAAAGAACCGAAGAATATAAAGCTAAGATTTGCATTTATGATTCATGATTGATTTAAGATTTGTGAAACCTACTACCGTAAGATCAATGACTAAGTTAAATGACTAAATATACACAACGCGAGACTATATTATCACGAAACCATTTGGTACCAGTGACCCAGATGCGGGGTTCAATATTTAGTTAATATTGAGTTCAAATTAACGTAAGAGTCATTAACGTAATAGCGCACAATGAATGCTGATACTTCCCGAAGAAAGAAGAGAGTCCGCCAAGGACATCGAGCCTACTGCCAGAGAATTATTGATGATATCGATGGCCTTTTAAGTGAGGCGTCGCTGGACAGGGACACCCTGCTCGTCAAGGCAGCCAGTTTAGAGCAACAGAGAGAAAAAATCAAGACGTTGGACGACGAGATCGAGGGGTTGGCAGCTGAAGATGATTTACTTGAAGAGATCCAAGACGCTGGCGAGTGTATAGCACGATACGACTTTGTGCTGCTGCAAGTTAAAAAAGCATGCGAACCCAGTTTCGATAGCAGCCCCCAGCCGCCTACGAACACCAACCCCAACAAAGAAACACAACCTCGCCAGCTAAGTAATTTGCCAAAGCTGGAGCTTCCAACATTCTCGGGTGATGTCATGGATTTCTACACCTTCTGGGACCTTTTTAAATCTGCTGTCCACGACAGACACGACATAACCAACGCAGAGAAGTTCCAGTACTTGAGAGCACAACTAAAAGGAGCGGCATTGAAGACCATAACCGGGCTCAGAGTGGCAGCAGACAACTATCCTGTGGCAGTAGATATTCTTCTGGAAAAATATGGAAACACAGACGTCATCATTGATGCCCACATGCTAGCCTTTGTGGACCTGAAGTGCGGTGCCTACTCATGCTGCGATCTCGAAGAATTCCGCACTGAGCTGGAGGCTCATGTTAGAGAACTGGAGGCTCTGGAAGTCCATGCCAGTGAATATGAAAGGAATGTGAATAGTGCCCAGTCATGATGGAGAAACTGCCGGTAAAAGCAAAGGAGAATCTCGTTCGTTACCTAGGACGAAAAACAATGGTGCCCCGTATCTCTGAAACTACTGGACGGGATCCGGAAAATTCAAATGGCATTCGATAGCTCTGTCAGATTTGTCGAGGGAAACCAAATTTCATTGACGTCGGGGTCACCGATGACGTCACAGGTCAGGTCAAAGGTAAAATGTTTCACCGTTCACGGGTCTTCTAGGGAAAGCGCTATAACACCGAGTAAAACGCATTTTGTCGAAAATCAGCGATAGGGCGTCAGTTGTCTAGTACATATGTTGCTATTAGAGGTCACTGGTCATACCAGGTCAGGTCACAGGTCAGGTCACCAAGGGTCACCACATGAACCCAACTTTACTAAGGTTGTGCGATGCGTGTTTTATGATCAATTTTTCATTTCCAACTCAATGGTGTTGGTTATAAGACCATCAGGTACGGCTCAGGTCACTTTCTGGTGGAGGTCAGGTCAAGGTCAGGTCAGGAGAGGGCCGTCGTGGTACGCCAGTGGCGGCGGCGCCGAGTCCCACGAGAGGACCGGCAGTGTGGTTGGAATGGCTGCGAGGGAAGCACCGAATACACTCAACTACATTTATTTACGTGGCCGAGAATCCATTGCAAACGACAATGTGGGTAAAAGTTTGTTAAACTTAACTTTTTGATCATATTTCGAAAACAAATAATTGATTTTGATCTTTTACACCCAAACACTAATTGATATAGAAAGTGATGTGTCAGGCGAAGTTCATTTTAGGTAAAGACTATCGATAGATAAAACACGCGATTATTTTAGGAAAAGCATCTCATTGTTGCACGCACGACGATCAACTAACGATTAAGTTTAGGTCCATACAAGGGTCCATATGGCCTTGGGTCCTAGGGCTTTGGTAAGGTGTGCAAGGGAGTGCAGGCCAGAGAGAAGCCGAATGATATCCCAGCTTTGTGTCTTGAGACGTTTGGTTTTTACGTAGCATGTTATTTGGATAAAAATAATAAGTATCTAGTACACAAGCCCTGGGTAATGGAATTGTTAGCAGTGCTCGATCCCGACGCACGAGATGTGTACGACAATCCCCAGCGGCCTATCCAGAGAGTTGGGAGAGTTTTCGATCAGCCAGACCTTTACCTCATCAAAAGGTATCGAATGCCAAGACACATGCTACTTGAACTGACATTACAAGTTCGTGATAGTATGGCAAGGAGCAGCCGAGGTCGTAACATATCACCAGATGTGCAAGTGGCATGCGCGCTGCGTGTCCTGGCGGAGGGCAATTTTCAGCGTCCATCCGGCGACACTGTGGACGTCAGTCAGCCCTCCGTCAGCCGCGTCCTCCAGCGGTTTTGTGAGGCTGTACTTGCTGCCTATCCCAATGTCATTCATTTCCCTGGAACTGAGCAAGAAATCGCTGACACAGAGCGCCAGTTCAGGGACAAGTTTGGCCTCCCAAACGTGCTAGGCTGCGTGGACGGCACACATGTTAACATCAAGGCTCCCGTCGTGAATGAACACCTCTACGTGAATCGTCACCAGAGGCACAGCATCAACGTGCAAGGAGTGTGCGACAGCAACATGCTCATCACAAACGTCGTCGCCAAGTTTCCGGGTGCCAGTCACGACGCTTTTGTTTTCGAACAAAGTGCACTGGGCCGAATGCTGGCGTCATCCCACGGCCGTCTGGGGTATCTGCTAGGAGACAGCGGATACCCACTTCGCTCCTGGCTGATCGTCCCCTTCGACGAACGACATCGAGAACGCATGACGCCGGACAAGCAAGCCTTCAACAAGAAACACACACAGTGCCGTTCTGTTGTAGAACGGTGCTTCGGCATACTGAAGGCGCGCTACAGGTAGGTGAATGGCATCTTTTATTGCATTATACTTGATTAAGTCATTTCCTGGCTGGGGAACCGGAAGTGATACCACCCTAACATATTTGATACCTAATTGCCTCATGAGCAATGAATAAGCTGAAAATGCAGAGGTGTAGCATGTCATTGAACGTCTGTAATAACGGTGTTGTTAATAACGTGTTGTCATAACGGTGTAGACGATCCCATGTTCTGGTTGATTTCATCATGATATTTTAATACTTTTTATATTTTACGTCTACCCCTTTCAGGTGTTTGGATCAGTCCGGCGGCGTCTTGCAGTATGCGCCTGTGAAGGCATGCCAGATGGTGGTGACGTGCTGCATCCTCCACAATCTGTGTCTGCTGGCCAATCTGCCAGAACCCGACGAGCGGCCACAACCAGAGGGAGAGCCCGAGCCGCCCCAGCCCGAGGTCGACCCGAACGCCGGGGATGCCGACCGGGCGGCCCTGCTGCGACAGGGCTCCGCGCTGCGCGATCGCCTGGTGGCGCTGGTTAACGGCCGGTAGAGGAGGAGGAAGATCACGAGGCTTGACGACATGCAGTGTGTTCGAGTGTCCGTGTGCTGCGCCCTGGCCCCTGCGCGTACATGTTCTCTGAGCTGTTATAGTTGAGAATATTGTGAAGCAATGACAAAGTTAACGCTATTGCTGTTGGCTAGCCGTGTTTCAAAAGTGATTGACATCTTGACATGTGATCTTATAAATTGATTTAACCCTCCCCGGCACAGGCCATTTTGAGTCCTTCGACGGCACAAGGGGGGGGGGGGGTACGACCCCCCTCGCGTTTGGCCCGTGATGAAGCTAGAGCTTCGCGGAAAAAACGAGCGTGTTGCCCGTCACGAAAGGAAGCCAATGATACGCAATTTGAAGGTCCTAGGTCATCGGGTGACCTTCCAGGTCAGGTCAATGACCCCAAAATCGGGAATATCGGGACCTGTTAGAAAGTCGTAAAGTGTGGCTGCTAAGGGGTTTTCCGGGGTGCTGATCACGAATATCGTGTTAGTTTTGATCAGAGATGATGTCTTTAAGCATTTAGACCAGGTCGGGTCAGGTCAGGTCAGGTCAACCGGTAGGGGTCGTGGCGGGTATTCGTAATACGTGTCAACCGCCTCTGACAGTTTCGTAACATGTTACGAAGGCACCAAAACTACTTCGTAAATGTTCAAATGGTTGCTAAATTCGAATTCAGCTAAAAAAAAAACTAGCCTAGAAACATGTAAAACTCGTAAAAATGAACCGAGGTCACCAAAAGTCAATGACCTGACCTGACCTTCAGGTGACCTTGACACCCACCCTAATGCATGGGGGCAACATCAAATCACATGTTTGAACATTTGAAACCACGAAAAGCTTGCAAACGCGCGGCTAATGCGAGCCGACATAAGCCGAATCGCGATTCCGGCCAAACATGGTCTCGGAAAAGATCAAAGGTCATTTGGGTCAGGGTCATGAAATTTTCAGGGTAGGTGTAAAATTTATCAATGCGAGAGTAGATACTGAAAGTTTCGGCGCGATCGGTTTCGTGAAAGTTTCGTGAAAGTTTCGTCGATGAAAGTTTCGTCGTCGCGATTTTTGCAGCAGCACCCCAACCTTGACACATGCAAATGCGTTGTGTGACGGTAGGTGCCAACCTATATGCCGAGTTTCAGTGAATCGGTTCAGTATTTGCCGAGTTACCACAACATGGGAAATAAACTGACAACTCTTTATTTTGCACCTGAAACGTGCGATGATGATCGCCTATATGCATCGGGACTCGGGAGTAATGAAAACGTTTGTTGAGGGCCGAAGGGTGAAGGTGACCTAAAAAAACGGAAGAAAATCATATCAGTGTTTGCTGACGGTTGTTGCTGACCTTCCAAATTAGCCTTTTCTATGTCAAGGAGGTCAATATTTTTACGAGGCTCGTGCTCCATCTCGAGATGCAAAAATTCATACATTCTCAGCGGCTCAGGGTTTGCATTGTTGCTTGCATTTTTAGCAAGCATTGCATTGTCCTTTTGTTATCTAATATTCTAAAACGTCCCACTTTTTCACATAATAATTAGAGACCGAGATCACCATGACGTCTAAGCGCAGGCCAAACTTTTCCAATCAAGAACAGGCTGCTCTCGTTGATATCATCGCTGGTCACCCAGAAGTTTTCAAGAAATTCAGCGGCCCAGGTCAGTCCAAAAACCAAAAAGAAGAAAACTGGCGATTGATTCAGACCGAGCTAGCTGCTTTGTTCCAGACTTCCAGGTCGGTAGAGGAAATAAAAAAGAAGTGGACAGACATGAAATATGCTGCAAAAAAAGAAGTGGCACGGTTCCGGCGAGAGTCGGGTAAAACTGGCGGCGGGCCCCCACCAACAGCGCCGGAAGACCTGCACCATAAGATCATAAGCATCGTTGGAGAGGAGGCCGTGGACGGAGTGGTCGGCGGCATCGACACCGCGCAGGATCTCTCAGACCACTGCAACGCAGGAGAAGGTGACCATGCCCAACCGGGCACCAGCGATGGGCTTCACTACGGTGAGCAGGCGCGACCACTCAAAAAAAGACGACATGCGGCAGCTGAGGAGTCTGTGGCAGCAGAGATGCTGAAGACACAGCAGGGAATCTTGGCGTCGCTCAAGGAGCTGGTGGCCACTCAGCAGAGAAGTGTGTCGGTGCAAGAGCGGCTGCTGGCTCTTGAAGAGTGCAAGGTGTTTGGCCGCTCTAGCAACTTCCCTAACAGTGAGACGAACTGACTGACTGACTGACTGACTGACTGACTGACTGACTGACTGACTGACTGACTGGCTGACTACACGTGTGCTACTCGATTGTGTTAATGTGAAATATAATTCCTTTTAAACTCGACGCACGTGTATTTAAAATATGGCGTACGGTGCTATACAGTGTTTTTAAGGAATATATTTTCATGCCTGAAAATATCTTCCATTAAAAATACAGTATCAAGAATCTAGATAAATCGAAGATTGAAAAGTTAACCGTTGGCTCATAAAATGACATAACATAACTCAAAACCAATCTATTGTGTTGGAACTCTTAAAGAGAACCCAAATTAATAGCATACAAAGGTGATCCCGCACTTAAGACTGCTCTGGGAGTAGTCGTAAGTTCACAATACCTTCAACATTATGATCGTACGATTATCGGAAGATTGGACTTAAGATGTCCCGACGTGAATCGCACTTACGATCGTTCGTACGACAAATGTCTACGACCAAAATTTTGATCGTAAGATAAATCTTAAGTGTCTGCGATGTCAACGTGAATACCAAATTATCGTACGACAAAGAGCGATCGTAAGATAAATCTTACGAAAAATTCCGACGTGAATACGGGCCCTGGACGACTTGAGAAAATTCTTATCGGATGAAGTTAAAACGTTGAAAGCATCTGAGACGAGAGGAAGACGACCGCCAAGAGCTGGAGCTCCCCAAAGACGAGCAGCAACATATCAGGCGAGAGGAGCAGAGCTGTTGTGTGCTGTATGTGGTGGCCAGCATACTCATGAGAAGTGTCAGACGTTCTATGCCATGAACTTACCTCAGAGGCTGGCCGTCTGCAGAGAAAAAGGTCTCTGTTACCGGTGTTTAGGACAACGGCACATGTCTCGAGCTTGCACCGCATCTAAGAACTGCGAAGTGGGCGACTGCAGAGGAAACCACCACTCTTTGTTGCACGCAGCTTACCGAGACACCACCAAACAAGAAGAAGCGATTGATCCTGTCATCAACTCTCCCCAGCGAGGAGCCGGGCCCAGAGAAACTTCCCACAGCAATCGAGCCCTGGCAACATCATCCCCGACGCAGTCCGTGGTTTTCCAGACAGTGCCAGTGGTGCTGCAAGCAGGAAAGCACAGCCTGGTGGTAAATGCATTGCTTGACCCATGCTCGGATGCATCATACGTGAGTGAAGCAGCGGCCGCTGAAATTGGTGTGACTGGTGAGGAGTGCGTGCTCAACCTGACGACCGTTCGTGGTCAGGAACCAGTGAACATGAAGAAGACGAATGTGTCCATACAAGGCACCGATGGCCGGTTCAAAGCAGACATAACCGCACCCATTACGAAAGATCTGGCAAGCACGTCTGAAGTCTTTGATTGGGCAGCTCTAAAAACGAAGTGGCCTCACCTGAGCGATATAAGTTTCCCAAATGTGTCCAGAAGGCAGGGTGTGGACATGCTAATAGGAGTCAGTCCGCAAACTCTGAGTCTGTTCGTTCCAGAAGAAACGAGGAAAGGTAGAGATGGCGAACCAGCAGCTCTAAAGACGCCTCTCGGTTGGGTGGCGTTCGGACCGATGAGACATGCAGAAGAAAATGGCAACAACATCTCCAACTTTGCTCGCACACTAAGGACGAAAGTTGCACAGCTGGACAAAGAAGACATCATTCAGGCATTTGACAAAATGTCAGATATAGACTGGATGGGTGACAACAACGAAGACGGCACGCCGACATCACACGAAGATAGGATGGCAGAAGAAAAGGCAGCTGCCAGTCTGCAGTTTTCCGACGGACGCTACCAGATCGGAGTACCGTGGAGAAGAGGGAGGCCAGCTCTGCACTGCAACTATGAAACAGCCGCCTCGCGGCTTGAGAAAACCGAAAACTCGCTGAAGAAAAAGGGTGGTGACCTTGCCGAAAGATACAACCAAATACTTGAGGACTATGAGAGAAAGGGCTACATGAAGAAATACAGCTACGAAGAGTGGATGGCTGGCGGTGGCGGCGGTTGGTTTCTGCCTCACTTTCCACTAGTGAGAGAAGATAAATCAACCACGAAACTCCGTATCGTCTATGACGCGGCTGCGACGAACCAGGGGAAAAGTCTGAACTCAGAGATATATCCAGGACCCTCTCTGTACACGGACCTCACAGAGATCCTGCTACGCTTCAGACAACATTCGGTGGCTCTTGTGGGAGACGTAGCTGAAATGTTTCTACAAGTAGAGCTCCCGCCCGAAGATCGTCAGTACCACCGCGTCCTGTGGAGAAACTTCGACGTCAGCCGGCATCCAGACATCTTCGAAGCACAACGCTGGCTGTTCGGGAACGCGGCGGCCCCGTTCTGCACCCAGTACGTCATGAGAGAGCACGCCAAGAAAAATGAAGAACAGTACCCGATCGCCTCCCGAGTGATCTTGGACAACGTATATATGGATGATGCATTGGCGTCATTTACAGACGAAGATATCGCTTTGGAAGCGCAGCGCGAACTCAATGAACTCATGCAAGGTGCCGGAATGACGATGAGAAAGTGGCTGACAAATAGCAAGTCCGTACTCAAAGCCATCCCAGAGGACCAGAGAGCACCTGGTGCCCACGTACACCTCCAACAGGACGAGCTACCTAGCGTCAAGACGCTGGGTGTTGTGTGGAATGCTGAGTCAGATGTGTTCTCCGTCAGTGTAGCGGACGATACACAACCGAACCAGACGTGCTCAAAACGATCATGTCTGAAGAAGCTCGCCTCAGTTTTCGATCCCCTCGGATTTTTGGTGCCATTTGTCATAGTCGCAAAGATTCTTTTTCAGTCAACATGGGATCTGAAGCTGACGTGGGATGAAGAGATCACCGGTACAATACGGCGTCAGTGGATGAACTGGTGTAAAACCCTCGTGCACTTCAGTCTGGCGTGCATGCCAAGATGTTTGCACGACGCTGGACCCGGTAGTCCGGTGAAAGAAAGTCGACTTCACGTCTTCACGGATGCTTCAGAGAAAGCCTATGGA